TTTGTTTTGATCTTAGATGCTAAAGCAGCACTGCATTTTGCAGTATGTGATGTTCCATCCCTCTTCTTCATATGTCCTTTAGCAGCATCCAAGGTGAAAATGGTAGATGATTTGGCAGTCACTTTCTTATCCATTGTCAAAATGAACCTGTACATTGTGAAGAGGAATGCCCAAATAATACATATCTGTCTCATACTTTTAAAAATTAAGTTTCATTATCAGGAATTGTTATCTCTGAAGTTGGGAAAACTGATTCTGTCTTCACCTTTGTTCAATTAATTCAAACAAGTTAGTGAATTGTTCCTTGAGGCTCAAGTCACACTATCACAGAGTGGCAAAATATTTAACTAATAAACATGAAGAATAACAAGAACACAGATTTTTGACCTTGTCCGTTCTATCGATCCAAGTTTATGCTTAAAAGGGAAAAAACCCCAAGGTTCTAACACTTCACAATATGACCAGACCAGCTTTTACTTTCACAAGTCAGATTTTAAATCGAAGCATTTAAACAAACCGCGGTGTAAAGGCTACAGATGTAAACACACAACGAGAGAGACTTGCCGCCCGGCCCAGGCAGCGCTCGGGCGGTGTCCCAGCCGCCGCCGCTCCCCCTCACAGCCGGGCGGCAGCGCGCGCCCGCCCCCGCCTCGCCCAGGGGCCGCCAACGGCTGCGCGAGCGCCAGCGGCCGTTGCGGAGCGGCCGCGGGGCAGAGCCGCTCGCGCGCCCCCAGCACGTGCCTCCGGGAGGGGCGCGAGGGCGGGCGGCGTCAGGCGAGCGCCTTTGCTAAACCATTTTAAATACCAATCATGAATAATGCTAAAATTAATAAATAAGCACTTTGTATAAACACTTTGCATCAATCCCCCGTACACTGTGAGGAAGGGATCAGGGAACTACAGTTATTCCACCTGCCTGTCAGAGATTTTTATAAAGACTTTGAGATATTTGGCGTTCTGTTCAAAGAGTTTCTTTCCTTTAGGTTAGAATGAGAAATCCAAGGAATTTCTTGTCAGTGGAAACTTCCATTTCTTTTTAGCTGTTCTTTAGCTATTAATAGATGACATAACAAACAATTATTAGACAGTCTTCAAGACACTTAAGAAAAAAAAATTATAAATTTAAAACCCAATACATTATAGCAGGTATGCATGATGCCTGCATACTTGTAAGGCTAGGCATCCCCAATGACAGAATTTGAGCTAGCCCACTTTTAGTTTTGTTTAAGTAATATTAGGACAGGGAATTGCAAGGAAGAATTTTAGTCTAATAAAATGCTTTTCCCCAAATTGCTTTTTGAGCCTCAAATCCCTTGCTCTTTAACACTCCTTTCACATACATTTTCTTTCACTGGCTATATGTGCCTAGTCCTACCATTAGTTCAGGTGGACATTAGTTCCTGAATTTGATGCAGGAATCAGTACATTTATAGAAAGCAGTTTTGTGAAAACCTTAAGAGAGTTAATGTTTTAATTTATTTGAAGATTTACAGAGATGTGGAAGGTTGAAATAAAAACCAGCATTAGGTTCTGTAATGCAGTAATCATCATTAAAATGTTATCTTTCCATGTGCTAACATTACAACGTGCTATAAGATATATCAAAGGAATCACACAGTAAGTATCAGTGGCATTATTGGAAAATGTACCATTATGAACTTACTCTTTTCATAATCTTTTTCAAACAGCATGTGGAAAGTCTCTCTCTTCTACCTTTTGTTAATTTGTGTATGATATATGGCACAGTTTCTCAGTGTGTCCCTGAAGCTGCAAAACCCTATGTTTCTATGTTATCCCCTTAAAATACAGATTTGATCCAGCACACCTTACATACCTTTGGTACATTTCCCCTTACAAGGCAACTTGGAAGTGACTGCAGCCACTGTAAAACTCTGGCCAAATAAAAAAGTAAATGACCTTACATAACTTTAAAAATAGAAAGCCAATCAAATAAAACTTACCTCTTTATCCTTTCCAGAAGGCAGTGTTTTCCTCCAGATCAAATCATGAGTTTTCATTTCCCCCACTTTTACAACAGTCCCAAGTCCTGAAGGAGCAATCACCAATTTGCCTCCATTTAATGTTTATGTAGCTACTGTGGGCAATAAATTTAAAACAAAACGTGAAGTATTGCATTTCCACCTGTGGTCATACTTTCCTTTACACTCTGCTGAGGAACTCCCACACTGTAACATTTCACATGCAAAAATCTCCAGTTAATTGCCAGCTGCTCAAAGTGAGGAAGATCTTAAAGCACTGCCAGATTTCACAGCCCATATATTTTACATATATATTAAGAGCAGAATTCTGGTTTTCAGGCTCCTATGACTGCAGATTCCACCTCTGAGAAGAATCTTGGTTGAGAAATTAATCCTGTAGGGTCTAGTAATGTGTGAGCTATGACTAAAGCACTTCTGGTGGGCAGATTATGTAGAACAGCTTCTCCTCTGTGGATTCTCTGATGTCCAACAAGGCTTGAGCTCATGCTATTGTTTTTTCCTGAAATCACAGTATTAAGAACACATCTTCCTCTAATCACACCCTTTCTTGTACAAGCTTAATGAAAATTCATTTCTTAATGCCTCTTCGCCTTCGTCAAATTTGATGAAACTAGTAAACTGAAAAATATACAGAGGATGAGGGTGTAAGCCTGGCTTCTTTTGGAAACCAGCGAAAAACAAACCAAAAACCTCCCTGTGTTCATTTCCCAAGAACATGCAGCTCAAAATGCAGTTTGCTTGTGCAGGTTGGTTACGCTGCATGCTTCTATACCAAGGACACACCGTATCAAGCTTGAATAGTAATGATATTTCACATGGTTAAATCTGAGGTCCAAAACAGATTGCATTTTGTTTGTGTGTGTGTGTGTGTGTACATATGTTGACTGAAACCAGTTGTGATCTCCCAGTGCAGAAATACATGAAGGAACACTGTTGAGACTTTTGATGAAAAACCAAGCCAGCTTAAAGGAGAAAAGTATGGAAAGCTGAGGCTTAATTAATAGAATGTTTTAGACTGAGAAAGACTGGAAGTATATTGTAACATTTGACAACAGTAGCCACATTTAAGTTGCAGTTGCCAGGTATGAAGGGAGTAAGGGACAACATACATTATATCCTTACTAAGGATATTGTTAAATCAGACACCATTACTCCACAAAAATAATCTATTATACTGTTTTTCATTTATTTTACAGGAAGTTCAACATCCATGAATTATCAGTCTGTATTGCATTCATTGGCACGTTGTAACTTGTGCGTTTATTTCATTAATTAGATATTAAGCATTAAAGACCTGGCTTCTAGGTACATTCTTAGCCAAGAACTGTTCAGAGAGCACAAGAGCCATAGTTCTTGGGATGCCATTTCCTCTCTTTGTAGCGACTGTAGCATGCTTAGTTGCTAAGAAAAATGAAACACATGAAGTATTTACTGTAGCTGTAACTACCATTCTAATGCAAATCTGCATTAAGATAAAAACAAGCGAGTTCTAAGTAGTAAGCAATCACTCAAAGAGAATTTATCTTCCTCCAAGGACCAGATGCAACATGATTTAGATGGCTCTTTCCTTTAATGTCCTTCACTTGACTGAAGGGAAGCGTGAATTACAAGTCTACAGTCCTAAATATTAACTGAAAACACAGTAGCCTATGAATATATAGGTATTCTTAAAATCAAAATGTAGTAACAAACCAAAATATAGTAAGCTACACAATTGGAGCTGTAGCTGCTCTGTGATTATTTGTTACACATCCTTTGATTTGTCCCTTTAGCAAATTAACTTGTAGTTTAAATACCTTATATATGGTAACAAAACACCTCCAAATGGAAATGATGAGTAAAAAACAAGGATAATACAAGACGAAAATCAATAGGAACTGTAGATATAACTGAGTGGATTTGCTAGGTAAATAAACTATTTAAATACAATATATGCACATTTCTTATATGTGCAGTGTACAGTTAAATAACTGGATTTTTACTGGACTTCGGATAGCAATTAAAAGATATTGCTACCATTTGGGATTTAGTTATCTCTTACTATATTTTCTAAACAAATAATCAGCTCATACATTCCAGAAAGCTTACAGAAACCTCATCTGTGTAAACTTTTGCATACAACTGCTAGTTATTTGGCAGTTTTATTTGTGGGCGTAGGTTCTTACTGCATATTATGACAAAAAATAAATTCTTTATTTGCTTACAAAGTTAAGTGGGAATGAGACAATGTTATAAACTTTTTTTTTAGAAAACACATCTGCATCTTAGAGCCATTTCTCATGTGCACAGTAACTTTAATAATGAGGCTGAGACAAAAGCATGAGAATCTGATTTCTTTACCTTTCCATTGTTTATGCACATTTTGTTGATCAAGCAACTGTATGTCAGACATTAGGAATTTAATAGCACAGTTTCTGCAAGTCTTTGTGAAATGGCTGTTTGAGGGTGAAGCACCTTGCCTGCATTCATCCATGCTATTTTAATGCATTAATAGTTTGCTCTGAAAAATGCATGTAAGTCTGAAGCAGAAAAAAAAAACCTCTTTCACAGGCAAGCAACAGGAAGCAAATTCAAAGCTATGATGCATGCATTCATATAGATTAGCTAGAAGTAAAGACTGCTACTGGCACACAAGCTAGTGAGTCTGCTCAAAGGACAACCAGCCGTGTCAAGAGGCCAGAAGACACCAGCTGACCTGAGGCTACTTTTTTCTGCCTTTGCCCATTTTAACCAAAGCAGACCTTTCAATCTTCAGACTCAGAGCACATACCAGCACCACATCACCCTTGTGAAATCACCTGTCTCAGTGCTGCCGCAGGAGAAACCAGCGCCCGGGCTTCCACCTCGGGCCAAATGGGAGCATTGCGGGTACGGCTCAAGATGTTATATTATTGAGCCTGCAGAAAAAGCAGTTGAATCAAACCCGCTTTGAGTAAACACTTGTAATTAAAAAAAAAAAAAAAATCACGAGGTTACGCGGGTCAGCATCGCTTCAGAGACCGCAGACAGCAAAGCCGTGCCTGAGGGACCCCCACCGGGAAAAGTGGGGACGGCAGGGGCAGCAGAGCCACGGGTGGCCCTCCACCCGGCTGCCCCGCCACCCTGGCCGGTCGGGAAGCCCGGGCGGCTGGCGGTGCCCCCGGGAACGGCGGTGCCGCAGGAGCACACGGGCTGCCTCCCCCCGCCCGGCTCCGGCCCGGCCCTTCCTGCCGCCCGGCCGCCATTTTGCGAAGCCGAGGCAGCCCCGCAGGCGGCCCTGCCGCGGGAGGCGGTGGCGCAGGTAACGCGGGACGGCGGCCACCCCCAGCCCGCGGCCGGTCTCCGGGCGGCCCCGGGCGGGGAGCTGAGCCGCCTTCCCCGGCTGGCTGCCGGAAGGGTGGGAGGGGTCCCCCCTGTTCGGCGGAGCAGCGCCCCACGACAGGGAGAGAGGGAGGGAGGGAGGGAGCGCCCCGGCCGGCGGTGGGGGTGGCTGTCCAGCTGGCTCCTCAGCAGGCTGCGATATCGTCAGTTAATTTTGGTGAAACAATAGCAGATGCCTGGGCAAAAGGCGCGGAGTGGGAGTTGGTAACCCTCAAAGGGCGTGCTCTAAACAAACTCGAAAATCAAACCTAAAAAACCCCCCACGTTTTGAAGATTCTATTCTGCTGCTTGCACCAGTTTTTCCTCCCCTTCCTGCAGGGAGCTCAAGGCAGGCCCAAGGAAGAGTATTTACTTGCAATGTGGCATTAATGATGTGACAGCTTCAACAACTAGTTAAAGCAGCCCTGAATAAAGATCAGATTTTAAAGAAACCAAGTTGTTACTAGTACAAAAATAATGCACTTTTAGTGCTGTAAACTACACTCAAGGTTTCCCAGAAAGTCCTTCCAGTGCTCTGCTCACACATACTGACCATGTAATTCTGCTTACCCATTCATCTCAAAAGAGTAATCTTTGTGTTTCCCAGCAAAGTAAAATGGCAGTTTTTTATAGTAAAGGTGTATAATATTTGCCTATTTGCACTAATACGTCTTCAGAAAGGTTTTCAAAGCTCATTTTACAGTATTGTGTAATGTAAGAGCTGAACTAATACTTAGGTCTTGTATATAATCAATCTTAACTGGCCTTACATTTGTTTGTATCTGTTTCAGGTTTGAATAGCTCGTAATTAAGATTGTAATTTATAAATGCAATGGAAGAGGGCAAGACTGAAGATGTCCAGGGTATTCTACGACTTAATGTGCGAGGATGTTTATACACAGCCAGGCGCGAGTCTTTATGCCGCTTTAAGGATTCAATGTTAGCTTCTATGTTTAGTGGACGCTTTCCTCTAAAAGTGGATGAATCAGGTAAATATGTTCAAGCTGTAAATATGACGTTCTGATCAGGGAGCTCTGTGGCAAATACATGCTTTTATATATATTTATGCATTTTACAGTACCTATCTTTTCCCAATCTGCTGAGAATCAGTTGGCTTCTTTAATTCCAGGACATTTATGCATGTATGACTTTATACTTACAAGTAATTAATCTGAATTCCACAAGACTACTTATGTTTGCAAACAGCCGTGTTTGTGCAGTGCTTACCTCTGCCTTGTCCCAGTCCAAACTGTGGCTTTGGAATGTGCTTCTTTAGTATGAATATGAAATAGATAAAATTGAAATTGGCAGAGTATTTGGTATTTAACTTGGATTCTGTTTATGAATGCCTGTCTTCTCCAGAGGCATCTCACTGTGTTCATTACATAAGGAGATTTGGGTCTAACCATTGTTTCAGAATACTTCATTACCCTGTAGGCATTGCATTTTTCACTACTATGGCATGATACGACAGCTTGAGCAAAACTATTCATGGGTCAAATTTCACACTTGTTTGTGACTTGGAAATCCTGCCAAAGTATGTCCAGTTTAAAGATATGATAGATGGAGAATAGTAATTCCTTAGACACTTTTGATTCTTTAAAATTTCTGAAATGTTTAACATTTTTATGGGCAGGGCTTTGCTACTGTTTTCCAGTTTCAGTGAACAGCCTATTATATACAGCTCTGTATAGTTTGGTAAGTTTCTGTAGTGGTCCTTGAGCCCAGCAGGCAAAGGAGAGAAAAAGAAACAAAAATATAATGTAAAACTTGAGCAATATTCTGGGAGGGTTAGACTAGAGGTACACTGGAGCTGATTTTACTTTTAACAGTTTTAAATTGCCTAGATCCAAAACTGAAAACATCTCTGCAATAGCGAGAAAAGATGTATCAGCGGTTAGAATTAGAAATGCATCTAGATATAGATTTTAGCATTTTAAGTGGAATACAGTACATCTGAGGTTGTACATTGGCATGGTCCTATGCAGATTAGTAATTTCACTGACATTCCAAAGAAATGTTTACTGCACTAAGAATTTTATCTTCAAATAACAAATATTCCAGGGAAACAAAATAGTAGGTTTAAAAGAATAGAGACAGTATACTTGCTTCTCCTAAGTAAGTAAAACTAGTACAGAAGTTTTATATAAATGGTTTACTTGACGATTTGATAGAATGTGACAAGTTTGTCTTTGCTTGCTGGAAGCAATATTTTAAATTGTTTTATTTATATTTTCAGGAGCATGTCTAATTGATCGAGACGGAAGCCTGTTTAAATATCTTTTGGATTATCTTCATGGAGAAGTTCGGATTCCTAGAGATGAACAAATTCGAATTGCACTGCAGGAGGAAGCAGATTATTTTGGCATTCCTTATCCATACAGTCTATCTGACCATTTGGCCAATGAAATGGAGACATATTCTTTAAGGTCAAATATAGAACTTAAAAAGGTCTGGACATTTCTTACATTTTAAAAGTTGTACTCTCTAATCTGTACCATTCATTAGCATCAGATACTAAAACTGTAGTATATGTGAGTTAGCACTTTTTAATCACCCTGTTAAATCACCAGTAAATTCAGAGTTTTAGGTTGAGAAATCCTAGAGTTGATAATGCAGTCGTAGTAGTTAAGGACATTCCCCATCATTGCAGTACAGCAACAGTTTAAATTTGACTCTGTTTTACATGCAAGTCTGTTGCATAGTAGGAGTGACATTGTTTAGTTGCCTATTTGGCTTCAAATTTTATTTGAAATTACATTTGATCCCTTCAAGATGTTTGTTTGTTTGTTTTTTCAGTTTCACAAATTCATCCTAAAACTTGAAAGACAAAATGTACTTTTCCATTTTTTCAGAACAAGAAAGGAAAAAAGAAAATTAATATAGTATTTAAAATCCTACTTAAGAGTATCATAACTTAAAAGCTAGATCTAATTAACTGATTGGAAATCAACTTACATTACCTGTCTGGCAGTGTTAGTCCTGACAGTCATCTGTGTTCTCTTAGTATGGTATTGTTCCATCTATTTCACATTCTCCCTTACTCATTTCCTTTTGAAAAGCATAAAACATTTACAGGCCTTTCAGTTTCTCTTCATATTAGGGATTAGCCATGCCTTTAAGTATTTCTGTTGTCCTTCTGTGAATTTCTCTTATTTTACAATATTCTCTGTTAACGTCAGATAAGAAATACAGCACACTTTTTTTATACATCCTTGATTTACCTAAAAGAGCTCACCAGTACAGTTAATAAAACTTAAATATGAAAGCTTATTCAACTAAAAATACTGTATTCTTACTAATATTTTGTATGTTTTATATTTTTTCCAGGCTTTGTTAGATTTCTGTGATTCTTATGATTTAATTTGTACCAAGCCTACAGTTTGGGTCCTGCACTATCTCAACACTTCTGGAGCAAGCTGTGAAAGTAAAATTATTGGTGTGTATGCCACGAGAGCTGATGGGACTGATGCAATTAATAAGGAATTAGGAACAAAAATTCATAGTAAAAGCATTTACAAAAGGTAAGATGTCAAACACATGAAAACACTATGAAGTGAGAAGGAACACTCATAATAATACCTAAAAATTATTATATATAGCATAATATAGCATTATTATACTATAAATCTGTGGAAGGAATCGGATTCTTTCCAGCTTTGAAAGCAGCTGGCTAATACAATGGTCACAATAAACAAATAAAAAATAAGATAAAAACTAAGCATGGAGTACAAGAATTTGAGAGTCCACAAGAGGTGGCTAGCATGCAGTTGCTGTAAGTTCTCATTATGTTTTACTTGCTATTTTTAAAATGTCTCAACCATTTAAAATTACTTTCTAATCCAGGATGATATTGACACTAAACACAGTGAATGAATCCCTATCCAGAAAAAGTTCCAGAAATATTCACAAAGTTGGTTGTGATTTATGCAACTGTATTTTGCAGTCTTCTAAGGTAGCTGAATGAAGTATTTCACAGCAGAAAGAACTGAAAATGAATTAATTCTTTAAAGAACATGTATGTCTCTACTACACTATCAATGTATTTTTATGACAGTAAGATAGTGGTAGACCTGTACTTCTGAGTGTCTGGAAGCAATTTGTCTTTTTCTTGGTCTCACAGTACAGTGTCAGAAGCGTACCTCACTGGGTACCTTTTGAAACATGATTAAGATAGAACTTTTGATGTTTCATCATCTTTATAATTAAGATGGATATTTTCCTAAATTTAGGCTCAGACCAGTAATACTTATTCAAAGAGTATTTGGACACATAGTATCAGATTTCTGTCCTCCTACTGTGTTTTCCCTTTCAAGAAATTATTGAGATTTAGAAGAACAGATTTTATACCATTAAACCTGTATTTATTCTTTTATGAACATCTATACTTTCATGAATAGCCATTTTTAGCAATATGTGTTCACAGGCATGCAGCTTATAGGAAAATGGCTATTTAGAACCTCTTATACAAATGAAAATGAAATTCAGGTAACATTTTCCTTTCTACTTTACCCAACATTTAGTTTTAAGTCCTTATAGTTAGGATTTGGTAAAAAGAATGATACATTTCACCAGTGTTATATTTTTATGGACTTAGCTAGATTTACCACATAACTGCTACCTTTAAAATAATATTTCTAGAGAAGCTGGAAATAATGTCCAATACATCTGGAGCTATTACTCAGTAGCTGAGTTGAAAAACATGATGGATGCTTTCGATGCCTGGGAAGGGAGAGGTAGCGTATTACTTTTTTTTTCTTCTTTTTCAGTAGTACTACCTTTTTTACAGAAAAATATTTGCCAATTAACTATGATAAAAACTGCATGCATTTTCACTCATTCAGTAAGTAATATGTTGTAAAATATCCCTTAGTAGTGGCTATTTCAAGAAAGAAAATAAGTCTTAAGGGATGTTCCAAGAAGGTGACGAGTTGGCATAAATGATGTAGTGAGAGCCACCACATGCAAGGGGCGATAGCCTGCTGGCATTGGGCACTCTGGTGGAAGCCCTAGAAGCACATTGGCTGTAAGCAGCGTTCATGTCAGCATAGTTGCAAAGCTGAAATTCTACATAATAAAATACACATGCTCATTTAGTCAGGAGTATATACACATAACATTATGTTCTCCCAGCTCAATAAACATCCCTTTGAAATACAGGTGTCAGCTACTGGAGAGTGCCTCAGGAGCTGATTGAATGTTGGACTCTTGAAGAACGCCCTTTGAAAGGCAGTTTGCATCATATGCCTCCAGTTCATAAAAGGTATGCTGATTTGCTTAGGTGACCTAAAGCAGAAATACAGCACATTTTTTTTTTTTTATGATTTCAGGTTCTCTGAATAGCTATGAATGTTGCATTTTATCTGTTTCTTCCTATTTACATTTTTATAAGATGCCTTAGAGAGCTTAATTGAACTGAACTTGCTGAAACAAATTACCTTTTTTAGGCTGCTGAAAGTCTCCATTCTATTCTACCTCTTCAGCCTTTAAAACATCACTTTAGAGTGGGAAGGAGTAATTTCAAAAAGTAGAGAACAGTATTATTTGAATGGACTGCTAAAAAAGAAATTTAACTGAAAACTTTCAAAGGTTAACTGATTTTCCCATATGTGAGATGTACATATTTTGTTTCTTTAATTAAAGTTCACTGTTTTACAGACGATTAATTGACTTTACTGAAGAGGAAGACTATTTACCATGTAAAGTGGGTCCCAAGCCAATTCGATTCTCAGGTCCCTCAACAAGCACCCACATCAAAGTCAAGAACTCAGCTTCATTAAAGGTAGCTGCTTGCAACACTTCACGTTCTGCTGTCGCTCTTAAACCACCCAATAGTGAAAGTTTGATGCTGCACAAAGTAGCTCCTGAAACTATACCCACAGCGTGCACACCGGTGCCCAGCAATTCCCAGGCTCCCTGTGGGAGGCAGAGTGCTGACAGTGGGACACAATGTCAAATGACATTCAAGATTGCAGTGTCTCGGAAGCCCAGAAACAACCGTGTAATAAAGCTGAAGCGAACTCCACTTCTTGTGACACCATCTCAGCCACCTTCTTCTGTATCCAGTAAAACAAGTGAAGAGGACAGTGCTGCTGTTGAAATTCCTACTACTTCCATGATACTAAACAAGAATGAATCAGTTGTATTAGCAGAGAGTATTAAACTTAAGAATAATAAAGTGGATGGATAATGTTTGACTCAGCCCAATAGACTGGATAGCTTTGCATCATCTGCTCAAAGAAGAGATCATCATCTGGTCATTTATTCAAAGATTTAGTAGAAAATTGTTATGAAAAAGTTTGTGAAAAACATAGGGTTAAATTGTTTTAAGTGAGCACTGCTTTATTTCTAAATATTTTTCAAATGTTGGGGAGGAAGAAAAATGAATTAAAAGTCCCCCTCAAACACAAAGCATGTACAGTCTAATGTTTCAGTATCTTGAATTTGTATTTTTGTCAGGCTGTACTAGTACAACTGACCGTTTTAAAGGGAGTACTTGCACAACATAAAAGAAGACCTCTATCAGATTTAACTACAGTTAATGTTGACTAGAGTTAACTTCTGTAATTTGTATCTTTAAAGTGGGGAAAAATAGATAACAATAATTAGCTTTCATTAGATACAAGTTGGCCACAAACATGCAACATACTGAGTAGTATGAAGATTCCAGAAGTTGCATGCACTTACTGGTACTTCTGGTGAGCATAAGTCACCATATTTTGTTATTAAGAGCAATGAAAGGGACCGCCTTTGCTTGTATACAGTGAGAAAATTCAGAAATACAGGAAGGGAAGAAGTATGCCTAGGGAGTTTTTTTCCGTGAACCCGAGACCTATGTGTACTGCTTTCCTAACGTGGTGTCATCTGCCAGGGGGTGAGGCTGCTGCAGGAATGTGGTGCAGCCTTGGCATTTTGTATCGCACCACCGTGGGATGTGTTTTCTACAGCTGCAAGGAACCTCACAGGTCTGAGTTACACCCGGCCTTCCCCTGTCCTGCAGGTCCTTTCAAATGAGGAGGGGCCAACTCCAACTTCTGTGCAGCAAAGTAGTGTTAACTGAGAAGCCCTGGTTTGAAGAAAGATCAAAGAACTCCTCCTTCCCCCAGAGCAGGATAGAGGAGGCCAGCTTGTGCCAGGGTAAATTGAGTAATGATACTGAAGAGCTGCTGTATGTTTCTGTCAGCAATGGACAGTCAAATTTGGCTCCCTGATTTTAAAAAGCCCTTTTAGTTGTTTAAATCAGTGAACGAAACTTGACTTGCTTTGCACCCTTGCTTGCTTACAATTCGGTGCTGGGTTATTTTGCTGGTTTTGCTACTGCATTTGCTTTTCCAGCATAGTAAATACAGCTGGCCCTAAACGTTGAGAAGTCCTATCACATTGCCAAAATGCAATGTTCTTAAAATTCCTGAGACTATTAGAATTACAGAAGGGTTCTTTAAATGTTTTATTTTCTAGATCACATTTTCAGGATTTTTTCCTAACCACAAGAACTTGAAACATCATTCACACAAGTAAAAACCCCAAATTTTCATGTACTAACATACTTTTAAGGAGCCAATTTACCATGAACAATAGTCACTATAAAGGTGTGCAGTACTGTAATTTTCTGCTATTAGTTGAATATATTGAAGACCAACTTACCTTTAGAATCTTTAAGCTAGTGATTTTTCTTAAAAAATAAAACTGAAGAGCAACAATCCCAAGGCTTTTCCTATCCCAACCAAAAAAAGTTTCACTGTAGGAAAGACAAGGCAAAAACTACGCAAAGATACTAACAGTGTAATCTCCTACTCTTTGAGCATGCAATTCATTGACACAAAGTTTGTGAAATTTACTTATCATGGTTGATTGAAAAGCAGTTTGTAATACTTATCCTCTGTGTGACTCCTTCTTCAGTATTTATTGAATAGCTGAGCACTTTACCATGCACCTTTAAATCTTTTTATGCTTCCTAAAGCAGATTTCCTTCAGGTTTTGATAAATTTAGAAGGTTTCTACAAACACAGAATCATAGAATCATTTGGGTTGGAAAAGAACCTTTAGGTCATTGAGTCCAACTGGCACTGAAGCTCACAAAGATCGAGTCCAACATCACCCTAAAGCTCACAGAAAGTATGGAATTTTGAATATGTACAAGAAAAAAACTTTAAAAATAATCCTACAGGACTTTCTGAGTTTGCACTAGCTCAGTGTTTAATTATTCTGGTAGCACAGTATTTTTCATGTAACATTCATGTCTGTCCTAGACATACTGGCTTGTGGTTAAAAGGGAAAAAGAAGGAAAAGAAACAAACAAACAAGAACTCCCTTGAATTCAATAGATGAAACTGGCTGTGATGGGGAGGTAGAGCAAGACTAATTATTTTTTGAGGAACTTGATTTTATTTATTTGTTTTTAATTGGATGAGGTGCAAACATGGCCTTTTAACTTCTCTGAGTAGGCACATACAGCATCTTTTTAATACCTGTGAATCTTGCTAAGTTTCTCTCAACTGATGGACTGATACTAAACAGTTCTATGATAGCTGAATATAATTAACTGTAAAAATAGCTTTGTTCTCTGGTGCAACATACATGAACATTTTAGTACAGTTTGTTTTAGTAGTTTGCCTTAATAAAATAGCTCTATTGTCTCAAATCTCTGGCAAATTTCTACTATATTCTCATGTGGGTATGTGGCACTGGCACTTGAGAACTCTGGATCCAAAGGGGCCTCTGCTGCAGTCACAAGTCTATGAACAGGAAGGATGCAGCTGATTTATAAAATCCCTATGAAGCCCAGTCACTACATGGGCAAACAGACTCCCACCAAGAACTGCCCTGCATACAAACTCAGACCAGGTGTTCCCCTACAACAGGGTGCAGGAAAGCGCTAGAGATCAGTTTCTCCCTTCCAGAATGACTAGCTTCTCTTTCAGGGTGACATTCCAAACAGGCCTAAATAATATAAGTTTTCCAAATAGCTTGGCTATGTTAAGTTACCTTTTCAGTTTTCCAGTTGTGTATCTGGTCCTTTATTTTGTTGAGTTCTGCCCTTACTCTGAATTTAATCTTACATAGAAGATAAACAGATCCAACCTGCTTTAAAATACTGCCCTTTAAGGTGTGTTTTCACTTTTGAAAGAGTGTACAAAGTGCAGTGGGAATTCCATGTCTGTGTTTGAATGATGCTAAACAGCTGTATTTACTTTGCAAATTGAGGGTGTTTTTCTAAAAAAGACATCTGGCCTAAAAGTCAAGCCTTGTCCTGCCCTTAATCTCCTCAGTGAATCCCTTACTTTAAAAGGAGTATCACACATATCTAGCTCTGTAATTACAGGATTAAAAAGAGTTCTGTTGAAGATGGGCCCAAGAGCATCCAATTACTTACAAGTATTGTGGACAGTAAAACACTCTGAGAAACTGACAGATGCAATTCCAAGCACAGAGAGACACAAGAAATGAAAGATGAAGAGATACTGTTCTGACACAGCTACACTTCAGTGCACAACCACCTCATGTAGTTAAAACTTGTATTGCAATACTAAACCACACTTGGTGTGCTAAGACTGCAGCATTCCCATAACCAGCCTAACCAAATCCACACTTATACCTCTCCTCAAAGAAATTGTGTTCGCATCACAGTCTGAAGAGAAATGCTGTCTCTCGCCTGTTAGTCCTGGGTCTGTCACACACTGAGCCGGCCATCAAAGGTTAGCTGGTACTAATGAGACCAAGGTTAGTGCAGAGTTATGACTTGTGTTACAGATTTTATTTATTTGCAGGAGCCAGATTGTGAGAAGCTGACTTATGGAATAAAATAACTTTCAATAATCCTGTCAAGTGGAGAAGCTATAAAGAAGGTGTAAAAGTCACTACAGATAAGTTAGATTTTCTGGGTTTTTTGGGGTTTGTTGTTGTTGGCTTGTTTTTTTTTTTTTTTAGAGGGGTTATACAAGGAGACAAATTAATTTCACAAATTATGTACGGACAATATAATAAGATTCCTGTGTAATATCTGCATGGAAGTTATAATTACATCTCTTACAGTGAGATTACAGGTCAAACTGTAAGGCAGCAGATAAATTTTGAAAAAGCTATCTATCTGATGGGTGTGCACAACAGATTCTGGAATTCCAGTTCCATTTACTAAAAACATTCAGCTTCAAAGCATGATAGGTAATTACCTAGAATAGGAGCAGTGCTTGCAATGCTAAGAAAGCCAGTGTTCAACTATGCATGTTTATTTTCTTTCACCACTCTTCGAGATGAAGATGAGTTATTTGCCTTTTAAAATCAGGTTTCACCAATATTCACATGTCGAAAACTGTATACAGATATCAAGAGAAATAAAAACAATTAAAATCACCCATAAGGAATGCACCTCACTCTACACTTTTGAGATTATTTTTCAAGGACCACAGATGAAAAGTAAACCAGTCAATTCTAAGGGAGCTTGCAGTCAGCTAACAGAAAGTATTAGGCAGAGGAAATTGGTAAAAAGCAATAGCAAACAATAACCTAGGAATAAACTTTTAAAGATACTCAGGAGCCCTACTCTTACTGACCTCTTACACCTTTCTGATTCTGACACATGGGCCACTAGTTCACTTGATACCAGATCTGAATTCTGACACTTTACTATGTTAATAACTTACACTAAAAGTATGCCCAGGATAGAGGGGGCTCTCATGGGAAAGTTGTGTCCACTTGTGGCAGTGGAATCTAGCTAAAAGCAAACGCCTAGTCCAATCCCAACTCAGCTGAAAGCCTCCCACTCATACCAGATGAATTAAGCAAATGCAATTTGAGTAATAACACAAAGGTTAGGCACTGCGAAGCAGCAAACATCAGAATATTTTAGAAAGAAGATTTTAATTTTTTGGAAGAAACAGATTTTCTGAAATACAGAGTCAGAACATTAAGACTAAGATATTTATTTTAATAGAAAACTTGGATGTAGTATCTGCTCAAATATGTACCTCCACATTCTGCTGCATGTTGCTGCAACAAATTTATTAGTCATAGCTCTTGTTACGGACAGATGGTTCCTACAGCAAAAATATAGAAAAATAATTCAGATTCAAGTCTAGAACACCTGCAACTTTTCATATGCAAAAAAATAAATCCAACTAGTCTTAGAAAAGTGGATGATAAGGATGGAGAATAGGTCTGTGCATCTGAATAGCCATGACTATATACATTCCGAACTTAAGAAATGAGCATTTTTCCTTAGCCTCATAAAAATAGTTTGTCAGTGAAAAATACCAATATGTAATACATTTAATACAATTTATACTTGAATTTAAAGATCTCAGATTATGGAATAAGATAAAATCAAATGTACTGCTTTTTCAAATGTTCTTGTATATAACAATACTCTGTGTATACAGTGTGCATGCATGTACGTGTATACACGCACAGAAAGAAAGAGATGTATAGAGATTTGCTGAAAAATTCTACAAGATTATCTGATTTCATTGCAGACCACAGCATACAGACTTCCTGGGATCCTTCTACCACAGGCTGCTCTAAAAAACAATAATATTGACTGGTATAACCACATATCTACAACAGATTTTTGCTAATGTGATATTAATTACCCATTTATTTTTCCAATCTATATTTCATTTTTCTAAGTAGTAAATGCTGCTTTGGTAAGATTCTGTACTCTTATGACAAAGTAACTGTGAACACATATTGGGGAAAGTCTTGAAAGTATGAATTAATTTTGATAATTAGTAAGTAATAGAGATACCAACAAGTTTTAAGCAGCAACAGACTTAAAATGACTATGTTCCGACTTATTTTCTTCACCAACAAGCATCTCGAGCAAGAAACTAAAGAGATTAAATTTCTGCCTGCCATCACTGTGACATTTTAAGCCACCAAAGTCACAGCTGGCACTGAAAGAACAGTGGCATCAGCAGAGACCTCCATCCTTGCAGGACATAAATTGCATTGCGACACTCGGCCAACACCGTCTCGGAAGGGCCTCTGATCTGTGGTGTCTGGTGTATGATGCTTTCGTCGGCTCTTTTCGGAATGTGTCGTATTCTCTGTGGTCCTTGTAGTTGTGGACTGCTCTTGATTTCTCATAGATCCTTTATTTTTAGATCTGAAGCTGTTATGTTGCTGTCTTCTGTGTTCAGACCTGGAACCACTCTTGACATTATTTTGATCTGCCTCATTACTGGCACCTTGTAACTTAAGAGACCCATTGAGCCGGATGTTTTGGTGCTGTGAGTTGAATCTTCGTCTCTGGCTGGAAGGCCCATTCTACCCAGAAAGAAATTGGATAGCTGTGAGATTATCTGAATCCTTCCAGCAAGACAAGAAGTACAGCAATCAGAAATAACAAAAATTGCAGAATACAATTTTTGGTGTACCTAGGAGAGGGAAAACACTATACAGTTTTGATTGTTGCTGGAGCAAATAACACTTAAAAACTGAACCATGAGTAACATGCTACATCTGAGTAGCATGGAAATACAGATGGCAGGTTCACCACTGATGCAAAATTAAAATCTGCCGTGATTCAAGAGAATACAGAAAAGGAGATGAAATACTAGGCATCTCAACAGCAGCAGTTAAGAAGCACTGAATAACTTGATACTGACTGATTTTTTCCAAAATCATGAAAATATCTTTCCTAGTAAAGTATTGTGTAAATACTACAGTATGACTGCAGGAAGAAGAGAAATTCACATGTAAATTAAAGTCAAGTTAAGAATCCACATGGTGGAAGATATGTCCATCTTGTGGTATCTTGCTCAGAGGAAGTTTTGATCCTTAGTGGGAACTGGCTAAATTGCTTTGTTTGCATGACTGCCAGGGCAGCTGATGCCATAGATGCACTGACATTATGTAAAGTTCCTATGTTTCTCTTCAGGCACCTATTCAAGCCTAAAATTCCTACTGTTATAAAATTCAGACCAACTTCAATGGCAGCTTTACCTAAGCACAAAGTACAAGTACATTCTAAGGTGCTTTTGTAATGAAATAGCTACCAATATAGCACAATACTATAAGCTGTATTATACATCTTCTGAAATAATACGCTTTTAAACCTGACAGAACTCCACTTTCAAAGTCTATCTAATAATCATGCTTCAATAGCACATCAACTGATCATTTGCCAAGGATCAGGAATAAACGTTTCTCCATTGTAGCATGTAGGGCATTCCGCTATTATTGAGAAATTTTCTTTTTCAGTCTATTGACTGCCACTAGTCACTTCTGAACACCAGACAGCGGTCTTTGCTGATATGGCTTTTCTGGTATTTCCA